CCGCGTGCCCTCTCTGGCACGCATGCCATAAGTTCGCCACCACTGGACTAGGCAATAAATGCAGATGCTTACTGTACCATAAATTCCACCCATGCCTCTTCAATTCCCAATAACAAAGTGGTGTAGCAACCCAAGGCAATATCTATGGCCTTTAAAACGTTTCTGAATCATTATACAACATAAAAACCAAATATTCTCACATGCTGCCAGAGACCATTAACCAAAAAACTGCTGCCTACGCACAAAGGACAGCCCTTCATATCCTCCCATAACACATTAGTGAACGCTTAGACTCTTTCTTTACTTTAAAAGAACTTGAAGCTGAACTACAGGTATAACACTATTTTCATCACTGAATATAAGGTGTTTTCTGACTGAATGAGGGGCAGTGACATCGCGATCTGTCCAATTAGAACACTTTGTATTAATTTATAAAAATGCTAGGCATTCTCTCAATGCCAAGCGAGTGACCCCTCTGTGTTTTCACAGCAGAAGTAAAGGCGCTCAGAACACAGGCAATACAGACTACTATGTTTTACATGCATGGCCTTACCAAGTATGAAATATCTATACATACATTGGGCCAAGCTAGACCTGGAGTTCACATTTCTACAAGCTTCTTCCATTTTTTTTTATTTTATTAAATGTGGACATTTCTACATTAACTGCTTAGAGCTAGGTTACATTAGCAGCTACAATTACTATGTAGATATCTGTTTTCAATGAGTCAGCCAGTTCATAGACTCACTAAATGGCAATGTTACCTGCAGTATAAGTGTTTAAGGGTGTGCCTTTACCAAGATGTTAGACTTCCTGCTTATCTTTTAGTTGGTATTGCTAAATTTCAACCCACCCTCATGTATCAAGTTTGTTTCCCCAAAGAAAATGCAAGCATATAGTTTTAATATCAGGCAAATGCGTTCATTTCTTCGAAAACAACATTTCTACACTGTAAAATATATACTTTAACTCGATGGAAAGAGGCTTTTAGAGAACAGTGGTGATTTCATGGTTTTGGCTGCTTGACTTGGAATTTTTTTATTTTCACTTACTGCAGTGTTACAGGGTGTTTAAAATGGTGACACAGTACACACTTTATTGCAAAATTTTTCAGTTGGCAAATAATCTTACCAGTTATGATGGGATATATTGATCTATAGTTGTAACTTTGCAATACTGCTTTTAATGGAAATGTTTGTTCATATTGAATTGCAATAATTTTTCTTTATTGTCTGTTGAGGCCCACTGGAATTCTGAAACAGTCGGGTGTTATGCTGCCCACTAGAGGAGATTTGGACACTGGCAAACAGAAAAAAGAAGCCCAGTATACCCCACCTTTTAACCGTCATGCCTTCATTTTTGTTATTGTCCTTGGAAGTTGGATGCATATTCCTCAGATCTGCTGAAAGAAAGCCTCACTAAAGTTTTTACTAGCTTTTTATTTTAAATAACATCCGTCAAGATCCTTGATACACCAGTGATAACTTTTTTTCTTCGGTGACTTCATTAAAGACTCCCACACAGCTGCTTGAGCTGGTCTCTACATAGCAGATATCCGGATCACCCTATCCTCTGCATCAGCTTTGGAGGCTTTACCGAGACCCCACTGATCTGGAAGATTACAGGACTAGCCTGGAATGTGGCCTTAGGACATTGGGATCTGCGTTGTGGGGCACTCCAGACCTTAGTATACTGGTTCCGTTAGCCGTGGAGCACTTGAATCCTTCATCAGCACCAGCTGCCTAGGTTTTAAAGTACTTAAGGCCTTGCCTCATATTTGGCTTAGTTGTTGACCACCACGTGCTGCAACATGCCTTCTCAAAGACACAAAAGGACAGTTCCTCTGCTACAGGTGACCTCACGCCATACTCACCTAATTGTTCTGGGGGTATATACCCAGTGTCTCCAGGAGGAACCGACAGCTGGACCTTGGGACCCCTGTCATTATCAGGTCTTCATCTATGGAGTCTTTTTCAGCAACATTGGGCAGCACTGAGGCCTACCCTATGTCCATAGGGACTTCTGTGCCCAGTAGGGACTTCCTAGCTGTTTGTGTCCAGCTACTTGATCATTCTGTCCATAGGGGTTCTAAGCGCACTCTGACGCTATCCCTGGCAGAATCCATCTCCTACTTTTCTATGACCGTAAGTCAAACCTGGTCTGCAGCCCCTGCTGTCGTTTTTAATCAGATTTAGAATCCCAACGGTCTGGAGATTCTGTTTTTGGGTCACTGCGGTTTCCTGCTGTTCACTGTGATATACAGTGGATTGTTTCAAGCCTTATTAATGTGGTGTGTGTATCGCTCTGCATTTGTAGGATCAGCCTGTTGTTAAAAAGGTTTGGGTTTTTTAGCACTCCTACAGCTGCAAGGACCTGTCTGCTATACCTGCTGTTTGAGGTCTTCCTCTATGCAGATAAGAAAGAGTCCAGGGCCCCACCCAAGACTGTGCCAGAGCAATTTTACTTTGAGGAAAGATTCACTAATAGTTGGCCTTTGTCCAATGTGGATACGCTGCATTAAGATATCACTGGAAGGGTCAAAGGTATGGTTACTTTTGGAGCCTGAATTAATAGGAAGTTGTATTACCTCATTATTTATTACAGGTGTTTATATAGCATCGACAATTTACATTGCACATTCACATCAGTTCACATTAGATCTGAGTTAACCTTGTTTGGCCCTCTGTCCTGGGTTGGTAGGAACTTTGATCTGTCAAACCTTGTCAGAAACTCCTTGAAGAGACTCCTTCCACCGCAGAGGTACATTCCCACGTTCTGGAACAGTTGAAGCAGATGTCTGAAACCTTGTGCTTTAGTTGTGATGATTTATTGCAAGACTCTGAACTTGTGTCCCACATCGGACTGATGTCTATACAAATGCATAGGGCACTCTGGCTTTGTGCATGTGCATAGGATGCTGATGAGACGTGCAAGGAACAGCTGATTCACCTTCCCTTTGTCTTTTTGGACTGGCTGTTGACACTGTCATTAGCATAGCCTGCACCTATCAAAGTGCAGGAGAAGTCACAGTAGCCCACTTGCTCTACCTCTTCTGTCTTATCAGTGTGTACTCGCAGATACTCTGAGTCCCACTCAGGCTGTAGGTACAGAAGCCAGAAGTCTGCTAACATTTCTGGCAAGCTTTCATCATATGGGTGCACCCTCACTTCTACAAGTGGGGAGCTGTTTGCACAACTTGATGGATCCCCAGGTATTGGTCCTCCCTGGCTTTCGTATGCTCATATTACCTTCTTTAGCTCTAAGGCTAATTACTTGGAGGTTGCATTTATTTCAGCTTCCCTGCAAGTTGACTGTGCTACTACATATACCTGCGCCTTTACCTTCTTGGGTACCCTGTACTCTGCTACCCCCAGATGATGGTGATCCTCAGTATTCCCTCTTCTGAGGGATTTTCTGAGTACAGAGTCAGCTGGCACAAGCTTCTACTGTTCCCTCCCCTAGCAAAGTCATGACCCCACAGTGTCCTCCAAAGGGTGCTTGTAGTTTTTGACAGCACTGGACCTTTTGCCCACCCTGGTGCCATTTATTTGCATGCCCTTGGCGGGATGCTTATGCAGCCTTCCTTAAACAAGGTTCGTTTTCTGGACTCGCAGGTCTACAATGGGTCCTGCCCAACACTATGATGTCACCAGCTCCACCCTTTTCATTGCGTCTTCTGGACTTTATATGGGGTTGACCCAATTTGCCACAGACAATTTGCACTGGATTGTGGCTTCATGGATTGAGACTAATTAATTGAGGTTAGATGAAAGAACACACTGGGAGATCATATATAACTTGCACATGTTTTGAGATTTATATTTTATGTGCTTTATTTAGGATGTTTGATCCAAGAGTTGCACTCTGTGCAGAAACTCATGCAGATCTGCTGTGCATTTGGTGTAAACAAGGCCTTAATGTATCATATAGTAAAGAGCACTACAATATAAACTTTTATTTATCATTGTGGGCATATATAATTTTGAAGTGTTGGCAGCTTAGAGAAGGGCAATAATGGTTTAAGCACAGAAGGGATATAAACAGAGATAAAATGAGATTGAGAGTCCACTGAGACACACACAGGACCCACCTCTCTGTGTTTATTGGCCTTATGTGTTGCTTGCTTACAAAACTGTGGCATAATGGTTAAATATTTTAAGTAAGTACAAAAATCTTTTCTTGCTAAATATTTAATGTGTTATTTTAACTTTTATAATAATTAGAACACTTAAAATACATTAACTAACTATTTTGTTTTCTCCTAATTTGTTTGAGCTTAATAATGGCCTAATTGTTAAATGGAGTGCCAGAAACAAATGTGCTCTTCACTTGGTTGTATCACTTAACTCATCCTATTGTAAGACATTTGAGAAGAGAGGTTTTGTTTGTTCAGAGATTTTTTTTTTTCTCAGAATAAAGTATTCATCATTGCAAAGCTTTGTTTTACATGAATCTGTGAGCTACAAACCACTATGTTCGCTGCCTGGTATTTCTGAATTTGTGAATGTGTATCTGTATGCATGTACTGCTGTGTGTTGGTTACATTTTTCTGTGCGATATGGGTAGTAAGAGCCAAGCCAAAATAACACATTTTTCTTGCATGCCAAATGGATATTCTTTGCCACATGGATATTATTTTCACCACATTCACTAAGTTAAGGGTAAATTCTCATACAAAGTGAACATTCTATGTGGCCTTAGTAAATTAACCCCAGTGACTTTGCCGCAACACAAATCATGCTTTCTGAGGGAAAGCATGGGCCTTGTCGTCATGTATATAAGGTCTAAGCTAGGCTTCCAGTCCACCATAAGGTTAGATGTACAATAAAAATGTTGAACAAAATTTTCAGAGGAAGACTAAATTTGATCTTATTTATTCATACTATAGGAATAACACACTTCATTCTACTGTATTCATTATGGAGAGCCCTCGATCAAAATCTGCAAGCAAGAACAGTTATGGATCTTCAGGAGATAACGCATCAAAGACAAAGAAAATAACAGAAGTTAATAGTCACTGTGAAGGGGCTACTTCTCTTAGTGCTTTAGAAGAAGCATTTAGGAAATTTGCTATTCATGGTGACACCAGAGCTACAGGGAAGGAAATGAATGGAAAAAACTGGTCAAAGTTATGCAAGGATTGCCAAATAATAGATGGAAAAACAGTAACAACTACAGATATTGACATCATATTTACTAAAGTGAAGTAAGTACATTGTTGTTATATGCACCTTAACATTCTATTACCAATAATTTAACAAATATCATAATTCCATCTTCTGCATAGTGTGTAGACTGCTTTTCTTCAAAAAAAACCAGGGCACTTTAAGCTAATGTGCTGTTTTACTTCCTTGTGCATTAATTAAGTCTTAAAAGCCTGATGTAATTTTTTGAAATGTTTCATATTTCACTATTTTCTTTTATAAAAATAATTTATTATTTTCTTAAAGTGCATTTGTGCCAGACTTAAGACATTAAAGTTATCACATATTCTTAACAGGCAGTAAACCAAGCTGTAGCTTATGTGTGCTACGTATGCCCCAAAAAACTCTACTAGATACACACACACACACACACCTTCTGATCAGTGTTCTATGAGGAAGTTATGTGTTGCACAGGAGAATCCCAGTTGATTTAGTCTTTCTAGACTTTGCAGAGGCATTTGACACAGTACCCCACAAACATTTAGTATGCAAACTAAGGTTGACAGGCATTGAAGAACCAATATGTACATGGGTAGAAAACTGGTTGCAGGACTGCATCCAGAGGGTAGGGATAAATGGCACATTCTCTGAATGGTCCAGAAGTGGTGAACGGAGTGCACCAGAGTTCAGTCTTGGGGCCAATTCTGTTTATTTTGTTCATAAATTACATTGAGGTGGGAATAAATAGCTCCCTGTCAGTGCTTGCTGACAATACGAAGTTGTGCAAGGAAACAAGATCGCAACATGACATAGAATCCCTGCAGAAAGACCTCAATACAATTGCATAGTGGGCAGCTATATGGCAGACGAGCTTTAATCTAGATACATATCAAGGCATGCACTTGGGAGTTAACACTGGGGAAAAGGGAGATGGAGAAGGATCTTGTGGTCATTATAGACCACAGACTCAGTATTAGCATGCAGTGCCAAGCTGCAGCTAATAAAGCCAGTAGTATATTATCTTGCATCAAAAGAGGGATTTATTCACGGGATACAAAACACTGGTAATGCCCCATCTTGAGTATGCGGTGCAACTCTGGTCACCAATCCTCAGGAGGAATGTCCGTGAGTTAGAAAAGGTTCAGAGAAGGGCAACAAAATGAATAAGGGGGATGGGGAGTGAGTTATCAAGAACGTCTACAAAAATTAGGATTGTTCTCCTTAGTAAAGAGGTGACATGATCGCAGTTTACAAAGTGGGGACTGCGGTTTTGGGAACGCGCTACTTAAACTAAGTACCGTGTGGAAGACTTGAGGGCACCACAAAAAGCTGGATGGGAGGAGGTATAATAATAAACTGTGTAAGGAGTATTTAACTTTGAGAGTGGTAAAAATGTGGAATTCAATTCCACAGCTGTGATCGGAGGGAAACGTAAACTGCTTAAAAAAAACACTTGGATGAGTACTTCAGTTCACAAAACATACAGGGATATTAAAATTTTGAGAATCATGCACACACACACACTATAGGTTGAACCTAATGGACCCGTGTCTTTATTCAACCTCAACTACTATATATTTGCTCAGTTTCATTCAAAAGGGGAGCTTCAATCTGCATATGTTGTTAGTTACAGCAATATTCCATTTTTATTTAAAAAAAAAAATGTGTTTATATTCAACCCCTTATTAGCCCTTAGTTAACCCTAATCAGCCCTAACTCAATCCTGTCACCTTTTCTCCTGCTTATTTATTTATTTTTTAAATGATTCATACTTTACCTTTTTTATGCTTATTCGTTTTTTTTTCCATTAACTTTTTATAGTGTTGCATTAAAAAAAAAAAAAAAAGTTTTACAACTTTTTGTCTATAGATTGCTTAGAAAATACAATGATTTATTGCAAGACAATTTCATCAAAGGAAAGCCTTGTTTGTCCTGAATTTTTTTTTTGTATTAGTATGTTATCTTAAGCAATGACAAATTGATCACAGAATAAACAGGCACAGGGAGATGTAAAAATTGCTCCGTACCATAAGGGGTAAACATATGTGAGAGCTGAAGTAGTAAAAACAAGCCATCAATGGCTGCATGCACTGTGAAATAATTTTATCCTCAAAGGTCATAACTCAAAAGCTGGTTTTGGTCTGTATCTAGCAGCTTAGAAACACCCTCTGTTTGTTTATATTAGAAGGCTGTCGGGCTGCCCAAGTATCTGCTCTACATAGAAAACAAGAAAAGAGGAACTGTGATTTTAGTGACTCAGATGTGAATTTCTCCACAATGCCGCTAGCTACAAAAGTGATTGAGGGCTTTTTTTAAGGTGCGTGTACTGTCTGTTCAGAATAAGTAAATTGTTTGATGTGCAAAGTCATACCACAGGTTTACTTTAAAAGGAATTTATTCAGGATCAGCTTAAGTATTATTTTTTTTAGCAGAAAGACAAAAATTCTACACAGTAATGTTAATTCCACATTTCCGTTTCATTAAAGCGGAACTTACCATAAAATGCAAGGTCTGCTTATTAGATCCAGGTCCCCCTAACCTGTAAAGACTGCTGTATATAGAGATTCAATAAATGTACCTGTAAGGAAAAATTTTGATTTTACATTTCCTTACACACACCAACCCCCCCCTTCCACCGGTGCCTAGGCTAGGGTGGTGCCTTCCTTTCCAGTGTGGTTCCGGCAATGGTGAAGATCCCAAATCTTCTGAAAATACACTCTTCCACTGGCTGGAGTATCTTGTTCCCCAGAACGCTCACCGAAAGGATAATGATGTCAAGCCCTGTAAAATGAGAGTGAAGTCAGTATATAATCTAACTTTTTTTCTTTCCTTTGCAATACATTTTTAAATACCTATATGGGGCAATTATTACAAGGGGAGGATACCCAGATCTTGTAGTTTACTGCATGTTCTGCTTTACAGGTCTGCCACTTATTTGAAGGATTAAAAGGCTAAAACACCTGAAACAGTTCAGTATTATTTTCATCAAATACATATTTTTATAGGAAGGTTTGCAATCATGATTACCTTACAAAGTTCATTGGACTGGTCAAGCAGTATGAATGAGTGTGCAATAAATACAAATCTGAGATTTTCAGAAGAGCGGCAAAGCAAGGAAGAAGGTCTTTCGGCCACTGTGGAGTAATGCATCCTTAGGATTTAAAGCAAAAACACTTTAATTTTCTTTCTCCCCTCTCTCTCATCACTGACTGGCCAGTCTTCTTAACCCTTATGTAAACACAAAGTAAGTGTAGAGGAGGAGGGGAGAGATCAGAGTGCTTAAGTTTGACTTGAACAACTGCATCTTGTTTTTCTTTACTTTGAGGCTGAAATGCTCCACAGTGTCTGCAACTACAGAGGTCAGTGAAGGCTTTTAAAGCACACATACTTCTTTTTAAGAATATGTAAATATTTGAATGTGCATTGCATTGGCCGTAGTTCTGATTTAAAGAGAAGAACCCAGTAAGTTTACTAACTGATTTTCTTTAATAATAGTACCACTAATTCTATATTTTAATTCCAGAAAACAATTGCAGTAAAATTGTAGTGATTAATATTTTACACAATCTTATCCAAAGGCTTAATGCCTTAGGACAGTTCCAATAAATATATTAGTTGTACCTTCAAAAGCAGTTGGGTGAGTAGAGACACGTTAAATTATTCAGCTTAGTGTTAGATACCAACCTTAGAGGATCTTGTAGGAATTCAGCTAAACCTAAGTATATACTTAGAGACACTGTCACTTTGCCCATTCAGGGCAGTGAGTATTAATGGAGTGGGAGGAAGGGGACTTTTTACAGACAGTTTCACTTTGTGACAGGTCACTTTTGCATTTCAATGAAGCTAATCAAGCACATATTGTGCCTAATTAGCTTCAACCCTGGCCACAGCAGCTGTGGAATGACAACTCTAAGCCCTCGTTCACACCTGAACGTTTTGTAGCGCGTTCTACGCTCGACGAACGCTCTACAAAACGCTCAAAAATATAAATCCCATTGTATTCAATGGTCTCGTTCCCACCTTGGCGTATTTCCGCCTGTCCCTAACGCGCTACAAAACGGCCCACGCCTGAAAAGGTACAGGTACTACTTTGGGCCGTTTTGTTGCGCGTTTCCATTGGGCTACAGCCAAGTAGCCTTCGGAAACGCACGACGGTCGTGCAACTTTTTTACCGCGAATCGCGGTAAAAAAACGTGCGACGGTCGCGCATATGCAATACGCCTAGGTGTGAATGGGACCTAAGCCCAGCTTCATTCAGTGCAGAGTCCATCAGTAAACGGATGTTCACTTACTGTCTCCTCTTGCCCTGCTGACACCCACCAAGCCGGTTGACACTCTCCATGTGGGCCACCAATGTCTTGCTGTCTGAAAATAATCTTCACTTGTTGAACATGGAGATGTATGTTAAATATCTAAGAAACGGCCTAAACTTCAGCTGATTAAAACTGGAGAGTGGGCTGCGTCCACTGACACTGGGCATGACAGCCTAGGCTATGAGCCCCTAATCTTTGAGGCTGGCATATTTTGTATGGATGATCTAGTTCCCAAGATACAGTGGTCTGCTTGGATATAGATTTGTGTTGTTGGGTGACCAGCAAAATGTCTTCAAGAAAAATACAGCATGTCCAGTTGCCTTGATTTATTTTTTACAGATATGATTTGAACAGGGGCTTGGATAAAGTGCCTGTCGACTGATTTTAAACAATAAGGCGCTTTTGGACTTTACAGAATGAGTCATTAACCAAGCTGCCATCTGTATTTGATTGACTCCTGCCTCACTAATGAATTCTAACAGAGAGTCGGGATGCCATTTAAAATGAATGGCACCAAAATGCAAAGCAGTGCCTGAACAAGTGTGAATGGACCCTTAGGGGCTCCATTTTAGTATGCATCATACTGTGTTGGCAATTGGTGAATCAGAAAGTTTGGAGTTTAAGTGATACCCTTGGCTAACCTAGGTTATTAAAGATGCAAGCTTATGATATATCATAGATCCCTTCTCCAGGCTTTATACAATTGTATATTGAAAGCATACATCTCTAAAAGCTTACCCGAAAAAGGCAATCACTTAACCCCTTAGTGACACAGCTTCAGAAATTTGTTTCCATTCCTGGAGACCGAAGCAATTTTGAAATTTCTGCTATATGTTTAACCATAATTTCAATCTTCCGCAATGAATATTGCACCTACACATATTATATATTTTTTAAAGGACAAAATGGGCTTTAATTTGCTGTGACATATGCATATATACATTTTGAGGTGTCATATGCATAAATTCTTAATTTTTTGTTTATAAGATATACAAAAAAATAAAAAACAAAAAATAATTTTCACACTTGTGGCAATAATAATGTGTACATAATTAGTGTAGCTAACAGAAAGTAATTCATAATAAATTATTTTATTTGTCCTATTTTTTAGGGTATATCATAGTCTGGGATTTCGGGTTATTTTGGGAGTTATAGGTCACAAAATACAAGGAGTGAAATACAATTTTAGTTTGGAACAAATTTAGAATGTGAAATGTTTGTCTCCTATCTTCACTAGCCTTCTCGGCACTATATTTCCTGATAATTTTTTTTATTAAATGTATTTTTTCTTTAATACTTCTTCTTTTTTTAAATTTAAAAAAACTTTTTTTTCTTTTTTAAACCAGGGGGCTATTTTTTATTTACAGGGGCTTTGATACTTAGTATTTCTGAGGAGAATACACTATTCTCCTCAGAGATACTTTGTATCAGTTTGTAACACACAGCCGACTCGCAGCTGCTGAACACAGTGAACTGCTGCAGGCTCCGTGGCTGTGACCACCTAATCTTCTGTTGAGGGTCTGCTTCGGACCCCAAGGGACCCAGCAACAGCAGTAACTCAATTAGCTTATTGTACCGCATGTAGAGATTATCCCGTCAGAGAGGTCGTTAATTAACTGAATGTTCGTGACGGTATAATACCGTCATCGGTTGGAAAGGGGTTAAACTCCACACTTTAAGTATTATGCTTGGTAGAGGAAGCAGTAAGGCCCCCTTTACATATGTTCACTGTTACCGCATGCATACTAAGGAGATTCTTTCACTTTTCTAATTTAAGGTACCCACTAATATTCACCTCTGCAGCGATCCCCTGCTATACCTTCTTCTATAATAGCCAAGGCAATAAATCCAGTGCTTCCTAGTATGGAGGACCATGTGGCCTCCTCTTGTGGTACAAGGTTCAGGCCTAGTGGCCAACTACTAGGCTTAGACACTGTCATATGTCAAACCAGTTGATGTGACTGCCCCTGGGTATTCTTGTGGTAGGGGCAACAGAGGAAAGAGCAGCATGGGGGAAGGGCTTTTCACAGGCAGTATTGCTTTGCCCTGAATGGAAAAAGTTAGAGTCTCAAGAACATGCATTATTTTGAGCATTCTGTTAAGTCAGCCCTTTAGTTTTAAATGAATGCCATCAGACATGAACTTTGTATTTCAATGCACAACACACAGGTTTAGAGTTCACTGTTTAGAGTTCTCTAAACAGTGTGGATGGAGGTATCTCCACTGTCGGCAATTGTACACAGAGAGCTTGCCTAAGAATTTTCCACTTGGCGCAGACATGCTGGCAGGGCCAATACGAATGGCAGTTAATACGAAGGCATCCACCTACGTTTTTGAGATACCAATAAATTGCCCAAAGGTAAGTGAGGAAAAGGTCAAGAAGCTGTCTATAATACTTATTTGTCTGGCTACTTGCGTGGATTTCCAGGTCACCTCCAGTGATTGTGCCAATCCCAGAGATTGGAAGCAGCCTTTAACTTGGTTAGAATAAGCTCATACAGTTTTAGACAGGGAAACTGCATTTGAGCTGATATCCTCACCAATGGATTGACTTTGGACTACAAAAGATCAGTGTTACTTGTAAACAGATCTTTTCATATTCTATGCACTTCTGCTCTTACAAACGAGTAAATAAAAATGGTCCACTGTTTTACTTGATAGTTCATAGGCAGTCGTAGCTGACGTTCACAGAACAGTGCATGTGTAAAAAAATCATGTTTGACCTAGGGACTGATCATTTATTGTCAAACCAAGATTTCCCTTGTGTTCACAGGGTAAGCATTTGTGTATACATAGTTTATTTATAGTGGGGGGAATTTATGAAAACTGGAGCGGACATTATCTGGAGCAGTTGCCCATGGCAACCAATCAGCATCTCTGTTTGCTCAGGTAAGATTTGAAAATAAGACAGAGAAGCTGATTGGTTGCAGTGCAATTCTGTTGCAGAATTTGCCTGCGTCAATTTTGATAAATTCCCCCCAGTGTATACGTAGTGGTGTTGATTTGTTAAAGGCAAATAGGCTGTTCACTTTGCAAGGGAATTTTCATATTGAAAGCAAATTTTTCCTTAGCTTAGTGAATAAGCTGAAGCTGTGCTCACGTCCATCCTCTAATCATGTTCAAGCAAAAATAGGGGGTTTTTTTTAACATGAGTGGGTATTTTTTGCAAAGTGAATTTTCACCAAATTTACTAAGCTAACAGAATTTACCTCCAACGTGAACAACTTATTTGCCTTTTGTAAATTAACGGCAGTGTGTCTACCAGTACCGTCATGGCAATAAGGAAAATAATTAAAAGGAGAACTATGGGGTTAGGGCTTTTCCCCCATAGTTCTCCTAAGGGTAACGGGAGGACACAAACTAGCGTCCTCCTGTCACCCAAAGCTCAGCTACAGCTTGCGGTATACTGAGACGCCGCAGCTGAAACGGATCCCGACAATTCTGTCTGGATCTGCCCAGCTGCGTGAGTGACAGCTGGCTCTGCCTAGCTAGAGCTATCAGCTGTACCCGCCCCTCCCCCATCCGTTTGGAGGGGGGAATCCAGTACCTCCCCTGTTACGGCTCTCTGCAGTGACAGGATTGAGAAGTGAGCGAGCGTCATTATGTGTTTGCTCACTTCACGATCTACTGAGCCGACCTGTGACAATTAAACTGTGCTAGAACTATGAGGATGAGTGAAAATCACTCACCTCATAGTTCTCCTTTAAGTCCAAGCTATTCTGAAAACAGATATTTCAGTTTTACGTTGAAGCCAGAGAGATTTAAAAACCTTAAACACCACTTACATTACACTTCCCACTTACAATAAGAAAAAAATTCAGTGGTCAGACTTTTCCATAAATATCTTTAAAGTTCTTTTTGCTGCTGCATACTTTTATTGCTCATAATTTGTGCTTTTTGTTTTAGGGCAAAGTCTTGCAGAACAATAACTTATCATCAGTTCAATGATGCACTTGAAGAACTGGCACTGAAACGGTTTAAGGACCATGAAAAAGCAGAAGCCATTTCTATGATGCATAAACTAGTTGAAGGAAAGTCTCCAGTTATAGCTGGTGTTACGGTAAGCAGGCATCTCAACAGTTCTGATATAAATAAAATAGGTTTTACGTGTACAGTCATTTTTATTTTATTAGTTTTGATGGGGTTTTGCTCCAAATTTTTCTCCAGATGATATGCCATTACCAAATTTGAATGTTAAAATGTAAAGAGGAACTCCGAGTTGCCATTCCCTTAGTGATTACTATGTCAAATTAACACTTGCTTCAGAAAAGAGAGTACAAAAATAATGAGAACCCCAGTATTTATATAAAAATAAGGGACATTTTATATTTTCATACAATCATATGGCAGCAGTGTAGCCATTTTCCTGCCACTTTTCTTTTCTTTTTTTATGATTGCATAACTAACTAGGTTGAGAAATATTGACAATTTTACCTCACTGAAAAAGTAAAAAAATATTCCTGACCTCCAAAAGGCAGTCTGGAAAATGTTCTGGGTCAAAATCACTGTACTATAGTCAATATAATTATGAATACGAGTGGAAAGAAAAACATTTCCTAAGGGGAATTTACCTAAGACTGGAGCAGACAAAATCTGGAGCAGCTGTGCATGGCAGCCATTAGCGGCTATCTTTCATTTAAAAAAACTGAACAAGCTGAAGAGAGAAGCTGATTGGCTACTATACACAGTTACTCCAGATTTGGTCTGCTCCAGTTTTAGTAAATTCCCCCTATTGACTATGTCTTTATTAATGTTGCCAGTGTTAACTCTTGCAGTTGGGCTGAACCAAACCATACTTGCTGTAAGCAATCTCGTTCTGTACCTAAGGAACATAATAGCTATATAACACTGATGTCACTTGTCTCTTCTACATGCCTTGGGATATAAAGTTTACCAAATTATTATATTAACCTTTTTGTCTTTTTCTAATAGTGTATGTTCCCAGTCTATAGTGGATACAAAAAGTTTACACACCCCTGTAAAAATGCCAGTTTTTTTAGATGTAAAAAAATCAAAGATAAATCACTTCAGAATTTCACCTTTAGGCCCCATTCACACTGAGCGATTTTATCGCGCGACTTTTGCAGCGATATCGCTCATATTTCCACGCGATATCGCTCTATGTGGCTTCTTCAATGCATTTCAATGGAGCTGTTCACATCTCACAGCTCAATATCGCCTGTAGCTCATCGCTCCTACATGACCCTTTTTTCTGCGGATTTCGAGCGATTTTGCTCCTGATTGCATATAGCCCAATAGGAAAAAGTCACGTGACGTAGCGCGACAATATCGCACATATAAAATCTCGCAGAAAATTGCGCGAATTTCATGTCGCTAAGTTTGAATGGGGCCTTAATGATGACTTAAAGTCTATGCAATTCAATTAAAAAGAAACTAAAATCTTTAACCCGCCCGTTAAGAAAAAACGGACGGATGGCAGACTCGCATCAGCGGGTTGCCGTCGCCAGACGGCATTTTTTTCCTGCTAGGGGGCGCGCGCGCACGGGCAGGAAAGACCCGCTCGTTACTACAGCCGTTGACGGCTGTTTCTATAACCACCAATCGGTTGTATGGCGTGAATTTCGGAGCGCCCCCCCAATCGCAGTGCCGCCATCTCCCCCCTCCTGACCCCTCACCTTTAATCCCGGGATGCGCTAGCCCATCTGTGGCCCGGGACCGGCTCGGGAGGGCGTCAGGAGAAGGAGGGAGGGAGATCAGCTCCTTGCTGTTCTCCCTCTGTAGTGTGAATGCATGTTCTGCATTCACCTGTCAATCATCTGGCTCCTACTGCCAGAGAGAAGAAGCTGATGAAGCAAATAAAAAAAGTTTAAAAAAAAGTCACAAACAAAAAAAGTTAAAAAAAATAAGTCACAAATAAAAAAAGTAAACCCCCCCCCTTTGTTTACGCACATATAAACGTAAATATGTGTTGCATGCGCCAGCGCGCAAAAATGACAATTGCGCTACACATGTTACATATTGAAGCGAACGTCGCAGTGAGAGCAATCATTTTAGGGCCATCAATCACTGATAACACTAAACTGATGAGCGGTAAAAGCTTTTAATGCGTCACCTATGGCCAATTTTGGGTAATGTAGTTTTTTTGAGGTTTCGCGCGCATGCGCAATTTAAAGGCTTGACATGTTTGGTGTCTCTTTACCCGACGTGACCCCGTCTTATATTTTACCAAAACATTTGGTAATAATAAATGTTTTAGAATTTAATATAGGGGGAACTATTTAAAAAAAAAAAAAAATCTGTAGTTTTTCCTTAATATATTAAAAGATAAAACCCCCAGTGGTGAATAAATACCACCAAAATAAAGCTTTATGTGTCCCCAAAAAAGGGTATAAAATTCATTTCAGTACAGCGCTGCATGACGGAATAAATGTCAGTCAAAGTACCGCAGCGCTGAATACTGAAAAATGGCCTGGATGGGAAGGGGGTTTAACACCGCGGATGTCAACTGGTTAAAAGGGGGGAAAATAAAAAAGTTACAATAACAAGGTTGCATAAATATCCACATTCTTAAACTAAAACTTTGTTGAAGCACCTTTTTTGATTTATTTTTTTTCAGAGCATTCAGTCGTTTGGGGGAGGAGTCTATCAGCATGGCACATCTATTTTTTTTTTTGAAGAATATTTATTTTCTTTCATTTCCACAAATATATGTGGGGGGAAAAATCCATCTTACAAACCATTTTCCCTACTTATAAAAAAAAACTTATATAGCCATCATTATTATTCAATAATCACACATCCTTCAATCCCTCCATCCAACCCCCCACCAACTGACCAAAACAAAAATTCTTGAACCATCCCGTGGTGCAAATGTCGGGTTTTCCCATAATATTTCTCGGAGGGTGTCAGGACATTTAGTTCTTACATCCTTATTTTATTTTTCTTAAGGGTATTTCTGAACCTCTGATAGACTAATATACTCCATCCACGGTCTCCACATCTCCAAAAACAATATTTGTCTATCATTAAAACGAGCAGTAAGCTCCTCCCAAACGTATAGTATTTTTTAGTTCTACTACCCACTGCCGTATCTCAGTGGTATTTGATGACTTTCAATACCTTGGAATTACTGCCCTGGCAGCTGCCAAAATGGGGCACATTAGTCCTTTTTTGTAACGTTGTGACCGAGCCATTATGCAGTGACAATAATGCCACCTCTGGTGTCTCTGGCATGCATAGTTAGGTGTCGTCCTATCTCAAAGATAGATGTCCAATAAGTTCTTATCTGTTGACATGACCACCATATATGTAGCATTGGTCCCTACTCCCTGCCACATCTCCAGCACAACGTAGAGCTTTGAGAGTTCATCTTATATAATGTTATTGGGCATGTATACCATCTGGTCAGTATTTTGACATTTCTCTCCTGTGTTTATTACTGCCATACTTGATTTGAAGGTTAAATTAGAAACCTGGTTCCATTCCTCTTCAGTTACTACATGGCCCAGCTCTCGCTCCCAAGCTTTGGTATAAAATGGGAGTGTCGGATATATGAGACAACAAGATGTTAAACTTTAGATACCATATGTTTACCTACTGCCCTGTTCAAACAGATGTCTTGGAATGGGGTCAGATCTCTAAATACTCTATCTTGAGAGCTAAGAACTATACAAAAATGTTTAAGTTGTAAATATTTTAACCATCTGCCTCTGCTCGATGTATTCACAGGGAGTAGGTCTGATAGAGGATATAAGCCTGTTTCATTAATGGCTTGTATCATTGGGGAGAGCTTTATAGTCTCCTACTTCAAAAACCTTCTGCTCTCCAGGCCTTTTGGAAAATCTGGATTGCCCAGTGTAGGTGTTAGTGGGCCTACGTATGTTGATAACCCATACTTCTTGACCTTTGCACATCTTGCCTTGGAAATCTTTGCCCACTCTTCCTTGCAAAAGCACTTGTCTGGCTCTGATCGATCGAAGATCTTACCGCTGCCTCATTCAATCAGGTGATCGAGGGATGCCGATCTCAAGGGTGCCGACAGCGGCAGACACTGCAAATTTCAGCCGGTACCTCACAAACTGGACAAAATTCGAACAGTGTATGTTAACCTTTAGTCTGTCTCCACCTTGACTAAGGCTAGGTGCACACCTAGGCGTTACTAGTTTGGCGTGTTTTTCCTTTAAAAATGTGTGTTTCTTCCGTCTGAAAATAGCTCCTGCATCTTTTTTGAGTGACGTGTTTTCGGACGCACGACGCAACGCTAAGGTGTGAACAGTCGCCATTGGCTAGCAATGTGTGTTTTGCGCATTTTTGCTCAGATAGATCCGAGTGTAAAAACACTCGTGTGAACCAGGCCTAAAGGCCCAGTTCCAGCTGAAGAAAACAGCCCCAAAACATAATGCTGCCATTACCATTCTTCACTGCTGTTATGGTGTTCTTTTGTTGATCAGCAGGGGTGCATTTTTACAGGGCTGTGTAGACTTTTTATATCTACTGAATATAAAAAAATTCTGCGCTATGGAAGCTGTCTCAAAGTGATAAATATAAAAGATGAAAAGCTGCCGTGCTAATAATATAAATAGATAGATCAAACAAATGCACTGCGCTAATCAATAATCATAATACGTGAATAATATAGTGCTAAATATCAAATGGATCACATATAACCAATATAATTAATAACTACTCATAAATAGTAAAAAGTGTTTCTCATTGTAATATCTCCAGTAGAGATTAAGTGCAAATTTTTATATCTACTGTATAAGACTAAGGGGTCTATTCACGAATCAGCCGAAGGATCTAGCCGTAGCTTCGGCTGATCCTTCGGCCCCAGGACCCCTTCGGTTCAGCAGAACCGAAGGGCTGCTGTACGGGCTATTCACTGTAGCCCGTACAGCTCCCGAAGTCGGCCGGGGGGCTCAGTCGAGCCGAAGGCATATGCTTCGGCTCGACTGAGACGAGGTGAAAGCCAAAGCTGGCTGGCTGGCTTGCTTCTGACAGCTGGGCGGAGCCAGCCGTGATGTTACGGCTGGCTCCGGCCACTTGCAAAGAGATCAACGTCCCTGGATACCAGCTAACCAGGTACACTGATCTCCAGACAGCCTAACTCTCCCGGGCTAAGTCTCCTGTTCACGGCCGCCCAGGAGAAAAACACTGCTTTTTCTTTTTTATTCTGACAGAATAAAAAAACATTTTTTTACCATAGGAATGCCATGCTAGATTCCTATTGGCGATTTCAATTTGCAATAGCAAACTAGCTATGGCACCTGCCCACTGCTGCAGTTCTCCATCAGGCCCCCACTAGTGATTGACAGCAGCAGAGGGCGGGTACAATAGCTAGTTTGCTATTGGCTATTGCAAATTAAAATAGCCAATAGGAATCTAGCAATGCATTCCTATGGTAAAAATGTTTTGTTTTTTTGACGGCAGCAGAACAGCCGGCCAATGGAAAACAGTTGGGTGGAGGTAGCTGTCACTGCTAGCTCCGCACATTTGTTTTCTATTTTATTTTTTTCTACTTTTTAAACTATTTTTCTGTTCTGCTTGGTCCCACAGAGGGACCAAGCAGAACAGCCGAGCAGCGGCATTCGGCTATTCACTAACTGCTGTTCGGCATCTATAGGAATAGACCGAACAGCAGCGAGTAGCCTTTCCGGAGGTTCGGCTTAGCCGATCCAGAAGTCGAACTCCTTCTGCACTTCGGGTCGGCCGAACATGCTGAGCACTAGCATCATAGAGGGGGGAGGGGTGAGACATCTATTGTCTGCCACATACAATGCTGTTTTAACACCTCTCTCTGGGCAGGTTACTAACACCTCCTAGACTCCAATTATGCAAATGAAATCAACACCTGGTTGTGACTAACAGATTATGTGGATTGGAGCGACATTCACCATATTTATTCCCAGATAATTTTTTGTACAAGTCATTCTGAATTGAGAAAGCTGGTCGGATGTCCAGTGAAACGTCTTCAAGAAAAATACAGCAAGTCCAGTTGCCTTGACTTATTTTTTACGGATCTATCTTACAGAGTTCTTCTATACCTTCTCCCTCTAGATCCAAGATTAAAATCTTCAGATTTCTAGCTGTTCTTTCATCCCTCCCAGCTGTTCTATCCTGAACAAGATGCAGCCTAGTATCACATTTAGAAAAAAGCTATTTTCATTTGTAATAGAATGTTTTTCTTATATCCATCAGGCAGACAAAGATTTGTGCATGCACAGGCCTATTGCATTGAGACACTTAAAACACCATTTCCTAAGGTAGAGAAACATATCACATTAACCCCTTCACAACCCAAGATGGGATAATTCCGTCATGGGTCCTTAAGGGGTTGAACAGACTGACACTGTATGTGTAGAGCCG